TAGTAAAAAAACTGAAATGAAACAGATATCGAATAGCTGAAATGGCTTGTTTCTTTACTGAAAACTTCGATTCACACCCTCGAACGTCAAATTAGGGGTATCCAAACACACATAGACTTCAGGACTTGTTTCAGAGAGATGAGCACTCGCACGATGGTCATCTTATAGGAGAGATTTACTTCAATGCCAAAGACAGAGGGTTGTTGGCATCAGCAATCTTGTTGTTTGAGTCCCTGGACAAAGGCTCGAAAGACCTTATTATGATTAGCGAAATCCTTTTCAACTCCGTCAAATGTTTTCACTCCTTTCCCCCATCAGTAGCTTTGAGTAAGCACCAAGGGCAAATTTACTTTCAATTAGTGTGACCTCGAGTCCATAATCTTCAAAACTGAGGTTCTAGGTCTTTTTGTGATGGAAACAGTCAATGTAAATGTTACATTGCACACCGTAACCATCAAACTACTTAAAATTTTAATGTCTACATTGACGATTTCCGCCATATAGGGTCGATTCACAGATTTAAATAAGCTGAGGTACTGTAACCTCAATTTTGCAGGTTAGGACCCAAAATTATGCTACCTTTAAAGTTGGGGAGTTCAATCCTACATTCTCTATAGATTTTAATTTATTTCTTGACATTTTTAGTGGTTGAGAGAACATATACACCTAGGACGTGCTCCAGATCATGACTGTTTCTTTAGTACCAAACATGCTACAAAGGTAATCGAACAACAGAGAATTTCCAGAGGTGCCAAAGAAAAATACAATTACAGGGGAATCTCAGGTCAACTTGCACTCAAGGAACCAATACATAAACATGCAAGCACCATTTTGTTTGTACAAGAAACGGAATTTCAGTGGAATGATCCAAATGTATCATCAGATTTTATTGCAGAATTTTTCAGTAGTGTTATAACCTTTGGATCAAGGCCTCGGTAAAGATTGCCTTCTCTGAGTCTCTCAAAGTAGGAAATCTTCAATCCATTATTTCTTGCAATAGGAGAGCGAATCCAACCTGAATTCCTCTTTGGTGTACCAGTCATTATGACAGCTGTTCTGTCATTTGCAAAGTTCGCCAGAGGCACCATAGCCTCAGGTTCTGTGGCCGATGAGGCGTCTACCAGAAAAATATGACTAAAATGTCCAGTCTTCAGTCCTTCAGCATACAGTCGAAAGCTACTGATGAAAGTGGAAAGGATTACCTGGAAATTTTCAAGTTCATCAAGACGAGGACACGAAAAGCACTCGACCTCTTCCTCATATGAGCAAGACCGAAGGATATCTAAGGGTACTCCATCCAACTCTCGAAATGCTGCATTGGCTCGAAACATACCAGACTTCGGAATCCGCTGCTGGAGGCCTCTCATTAGCACATCACATGTTTGGTTTAATGGTGCACATACAAGAATTCGATTTGATGGGGAACTTCGACAGATTTGGGCAACTGCTTCTGCAATTAATAGTCCAGGTTTTGACAATGCCTTTGTTTCAGTTACAGATATTGGGCCCTCAATGAGGTAAGGAGGTGAGCCCTTGAGGCTTAAGATGTGTTGAAGAGAAGAAATTTGCTGCTTATCGAGTTTGGGGTCAATAAACAGTTCCATGGAGGTAACATTATTTTCTGGAATGGACTCGGGGAAGAGGAAGTTTCTACCTAAGGATTCTGAAGCAACTGCGATTGCATGGTGTGCCCGCTTTAAACAAACTCTATTGAATGAAAATTTGACATCGTATTTGCGGTCTGATTGATAATGAGCGTGAAAATCATCTCCAAATTCAGCCAAGAGCATATTTTTCCCCACTAGACGATAGAAACTACCCTGTTTAAGAATACGATGACAGTGAGATTAATAAGACAGGAATGAATTACATTTACTAAAATTCAATACTAGACAATCTAATGTATAAGGAAAATCTTGTGAATATAAGATTCGAATATATACTTCCATTGCAAACAGATCCATGAAAAGAGCTAAATGACATTCAATTACTCCGGAATAGCCATCTGATTATGTGAAGAGATTACTGAATTCAATTGGGATGGAAAGGAGAAAATAAAAACCATATAGCTAATGAAAAGTTATACAGTCAACATGTTCAACAAGGAATTTTACAAATTTCTTATATAATAGCTAGAACCCTAGACAGTGTGGAAACTCAATATGGCTCCTAAAATTCTAGAATTTACTCAGTAATGTACAGAATATATTCTGATCCACAGAGGAAAACATGAGGAAGAAGGGATGTTATTCAACTTGTTCAAAAAGGAACAGTAGACAGTTCTAATATACTAGCCAAACCCCTAGACAATGTGGAACCACAATAGGGCTTCTTATAATTCAGGAATTTACTCAGTAATGCATGGAATATAGTCTGATCATCATTTTTGAGGAAAAATGAGGAACAAAAATGCGCATAAGGCCTTGACTAAATTGCAATAAACCAATATGTTGAACATCAATCATCTAACGTTCATGTGTTCAATTTTTTTTTTTTTTTTTTTTTTTTTTTTTAATTGCCTGGAAAGAGAAAGGATCAAGGATCAAGGATCAAGGATTAGATCTTGGCTGAACCAGGTGTAATAAATTAAATAAATAAATAAAATCAACTTTTAGTGGGTGAAGTGGCGAATTTGGTTGGTTCATGTTACAGGATATAACAATAAATCTGTAGGATCGTGTACTTAATTGTAGGGATTGGCATAATTATAGGGATTCCTAATTAGCATACCTTCCTAATATAGACTTCTTAATACACACACACACTCTCTCTCTCTCTCTCTCTCTCTCTCTCTATCTCTCACACACACACGTGTATCTTTTCCTATGATTAATGTTAAGAAAATATCCTCTCTCTCAATATCAGTTCAGTAGTTATTTTACCAGTTTCAAAATTTCTGGTTTTTACTATACAATTGGATTGAATTTCAGACCAGTTCTTAGTTTTTCTAGTCGGACTAGGCTTTCCGGTTCTAGTCTGCTTTTGATAGTGTTGGTTCAAAGAGGGGTGAGTAAGTTCAATTATTTTTCTCAAAAAGTTGATGATTTAGTTACTATCTTGAGATGTGAAATGATTCAAACATGTCAGGATGATTGATGTTTTATGGTTTAGTCTATGAGATGACCAGTAGCTAAGGTTCATCAATTGTTTTACTTTTCTCTGTTTTAATTCCCATTTTAGATAACTTAAGTATAAAACAGTACTTTGACATCATCAAAGTGAAAAGCTGAACATTCTGTTCGAAATGGCTTCTTAGTTTAATACTATAGCCTCCTTGTTTCTTGACATTAAGGCTTGGTTGAATATAGCAACAAATTTTAAATTGACAACACAAGAATCAGCTTTACTACTGTGATCCTGTAGATTCAGTTGATAAAAAACTGAGGCTTACCTGAAATTCTTTGCCTTTCCCATTCGAAAGCCTTACTGAGATGAAGTCTCTAGATAACAGGAATGGCCGGTTTGTTCCAACCTCAAATGTTACAAATATTTTTTTATCTTTTTCCTTATGCTTATACCTTGAGAGATAACCGATCTTGAAAAGGATTTCAGCATTGTGCAACTCCAGATTTACATTCTTCATCTCAAACCCATCCCATTTCTGATCCAAGAAAGCAAATTGAAGATATTATGGTGGTACAACAATGTTAATTCTCTACATATAATGAGCACACTAGTAGGTACCGAAGTCAGAGTTAAAGAATACAAAAAAATCCCTAACAAAAGGAATACAGTGATTTCAAGAATCCATAAAAATATAGAGCTTCTTTGTTTGTTTTTATTTCAAGGATTAGGGTTCTGAACATTTATCTAGTCAGAAGATTAAAAATATTATTTGAGCAAGTAAAAAGCACAAAGAACAACTACCGACTACCATCATTTTTTGGTACTTTTTATTGAGTTTTAGGGAATGCAGAGCATCGATTGAGGTAGGATCACCATTTGACAACACTTCACTGTAAATAAATAAGATTCACGATTTGAACACCATAAAATAGGGTGAAGACTTAAAACCAGATACTGTGATTATGAGCTAAAAGAACTTCCAGCAACACGAGAGTTTGGTTTGTTACTAGAAAAACTCAAGCCAATAAAGGAAACTGAAAATTCTGAATCGAAGCAATTAACATAAATTTCTTAAGTCTAAAACTAAATGATAAAATTCTTTCTGACTTAAATGAAAGATTGTGTTGTTACTCTCTAACATCTCCCTTTAAATTGGGTTGGGTCCAGTGACCCCTACTTATGCAAAGAAAGTTTAAGAAACAAGAAGAATTAAATGGGCAAATTACCCTCTCTTATTTTGTACTAACTCCGTCGCAGGCTTGTTACTATTTTACACACAAATTAAGAAAGGACAAAGATATTTGTGCGCACACATTTGTACAGAATGTTTTACTCACTCTCACATACACTTGTGAGTGTAAGTAAACCATTTTGTACAAAAGTAGGTGTATATCTAGCACTCTCTAGAAAGAAAATGTAATTTAATATAGTTGGAAATATAAATTTTTCTTACATTTTTCCTAATATACCCCCACATTAAATAATGATTTAAATAGGATTATTTTATATTTGTTGATAACAAAAATAGGGGCATATTAGAAAACAAAAAAAATATATATCTATACTTTCAATAAAAAAAGTGGTCTATAATTTGGGACAGTCAGGATAAAAATAAAAAAATATGGGATGGAAGTAGTATTTTCTAGAAAAAAGGTCATATTTAATCAAATACAAGGCACAAGGAAGATCAAAACTTTGTACCCTCAGAAGGCTATACTTTACAAAGCAGAACATATTTGGACCGTCACGAAGCTCTTTATTTCTCTTGCACTTCCCTTTTTCCCTGAATTTGTATACTAGCATTTTCGTAGCATAATAATGTACTTTATCTTTGAAGTTTGAGAGACATAAAAGATTTGATCCTGCTACATTATAACAATTATAAACAATAACATAACATGGCAATTGAAGCTATATGAAAAGTGAATAATCACCTCAAGGTAACAATCCTCGGCATAAAGTAGAGCATGGAAGTAATTTTTGTACGTCGACATAGACAAAGGCTTCTTGAGCACTCCCGGAACAATTTCTTTTTCAATTGAACTTTTGATGTCCTCCGAAAAAGCATAGGTAGATGAACCCTCAACCAATATATAACTAGTTGTTCCCTGCTGATATGTCAGAGCTGAGGTCGGTAACAAGGTTGGCTTTGTGGATAGTGGACGTGGTTTTGGTGAAGGAAATCTCTCTAACAAAGATGATGCCGATGATGACTTAGACAAATGCAATGCAACAGGAGATTTAAAAGAAGACTGAGATTCTCGAAAAGTAGCTGAAGATACATTCTCGGGTAATCCCTTTCCCTTCTGACAGCCATCAATTGATTTCTGTGGTTCCAAAGGTCGTGTTGAAACTGGTTTCATGGAAGAAGATGATGATGATGATGAAGTGACTGGAGCCGAACCTTTTAAGTTTTCTAACAAAGAAGATGATGATAGAGGTGACCTGGACGAATGCAATGTGATGGGGAATTTAAAGGAAGACTGAGATTCGTGGGAAGAAGCTGAATTTACATTCTGGGCTAATCCTTTTCCCTTTTGAACCCCTTCAATTGGCTTCAGAGGATCGAAAGGTAGAGTTTGAACTGTTTTCATGAATGATGATGACGAGGATAAGGAAGAATCTTTCAAATTCTGATCACGATGAAATTCATAGGGCTTGTTTACCTTTCTCTCCGGATTATGATCTCTCTTAATTACATTCGAATGATCAATATTATTCTTTCCAGACTCTATTGACCTATAATTGTACTCAACAATTCCAGGTGACTTAACTCGAATAGAACTTTGGAAAATGGTCTCTTGGGACTGAATGGATGAAGCATTCGAAGAAAGATGATTATTTTCATTGTGAAATCTTGCTGCATTGGTGGTGGCGGTGTTGGTTGGTCGGAATCTAATCCACTGGAGTTTAGAACAAATGTAAGAAACAAAATCATTATCACGGCCAGCAATTTCAAAATATCCATACCGATTCCTTTCAATCTCAAGCTTATCCTCTTCCTCAGAGCAAAGAATACACTGTAATATATTAAGAAACCCCATCTTTTCTCCACCACTTAGCTAAATCCTAGTATCAGCACAGCCTACACAACGAAAAATGAAGAACAAAAATTAGTCGAAAAGGAGTGAGGAAATTGGCCACACTCCAAAATTTGTCAATAAGTAACTGGGAATATTGATAAATTTGAATCTAAAAATCTCAGTATTAGATCGGCCTACGCAGGGAAGAACGAAAATCACTCGAAAAAATAGTGGGGAAATTGATCACACTCCAAAATTCGTAAATCAGTAACTGGGAAATGTAGCATAAACATACACTTACACATTTGCCTCCATGAATAGGCCTTTATGTGCAGCGGTGCGATCGTCCGTGTTTACCAGAAGGGCGTGGGCATACCTGAGAATTTTCCGATGTCTATCCCAGGTAGGATTGAGCTGAGAATGAAGAAATCAGCAACTTGAACAGCACAAATGAGGAGTAATTCTATGATCCTATTAAGACTTAAAAATGGATTTTCAAGATTTTAGCAGTAAATCGGTGAGCCTGCCTGCGTGTATCTGAGAAGGAAGAGAGTAAAGTGGAGACAACGATATGAATACTGAAGAAAAGAAAGACTTTCGGAAGACTTCATAGTTCCAACAGCCAATAATATCTCTTCTTCCCTTACGTTCTTCGTGCATGTTTGGCTAAGAAAACTCAACTTGTAAGTAAAGTTACTTATAGGTAAATAATTATGTTTTTAAATACATAAATTTTTCATTTGTTCAAATTAAATACTTATTTTGATAATAAAATAAATCACTTTTAATGATAAATTATTTTTCCAATATGTACTAGAAATTAATAGACACACACATGCTTTCTTAATTCAGTGTAAATATGTCTCCAATGAACATTCAATCTCTAGAATAATAGCATCAGATTCAGCTGTTGCTTTGTGTGCGATGCATCAACAAAGGTTTATGAGGCGGACAGAACATAAAGTGTGGTTAGTAGGTATTATAAACGAAAGCAATATGATTCAATGATTCAAATGAATGAATCTGATTGTTTAGAAACTTCTACTTGTTGAGTCAAGCTCGTTGGGGGTTGAGATGAATAAATTTTAAAAATAAATACTCATAAGAAAGGACAAATTCGATTTTAAATCTAGTACTTACAGTTCCTATTCAAGAACTAAGAATCGACTTGGACCAAATTGATTTTCGATTTGATTCCTAATTTATTATTTTGGAACTAGGTCGAAACATTTGATCTTGGTTCGATTTCAATTTGGCAGGTTTGATTTTAGCTAAAATGTACATCCCTACATGAATGGTTGAATAGTCAACCTGATTCGATCTCTTATATTGACTGGCCAATCCATGAACCCATGAAACCTCGATCGAGTTAAGCTGATTTCGATCCATTTGTTTGAGCTGGATAATCCCGACTCTAGGTTGCATGTCCATTTTGACACCATGAGCCCACACATGAACATGTACCAATGCGACTACTTGATTGAAAACACTTGTAGTCCTAATATGCGTTTATCCACTTCGGTCACCAAACTTTTTTTTTCTCAACTTAGTCAGTGAACTTTAGTTTCTGTTTCATTATAAGCACCTCAAATTAACATAAAGGCTCACATCTAAACTTAGCCATACGAAAATTTCTGCCAAATTCTTTCTTTTTAAAGCAAAATGGAATCCACTAAAACAGATTGCCACGAACTGGTGACAATAAAATTAATGGAATAAAATCAATCCAATGAGAAGTGCCAATAACTAAATGAATAAAAAAGGGTACAAAGTGGGCTACTCTATTCTTGTCATGGGAAATAAAACAACCAGAGCTACAATTGACGTCGCCTAATAAAGCTACAATTCTCGTCTTTGAGAGCCATGACTAGCTCTATTCAATCCGCGCTAGTTGACGTAGAGCGCAACAAGTGGATATTCGAGTCCGAATACCCCTCCATCAGAAGTACTAGCAGCTTCATGATTTAGATCACCATTCAACAAGCACTTAGATCCACTTCTATAAATGTAAATTCCTTTTGGGACGCGGTGCATAATTGTATCTAATGAAATAGCCAAAATCTGCTCTTGATCAGATGAGACAAAAATTCTCTCTATAGTTCCAATTTCCCATTCCCCAACATATGTATTCAAATAAGCTACATTATCTACCTATTCGAGGCAGCGTTGATTGGCCAAATAGGAGGTTTCGATAACCCCAAATGCGAGATGACCAATGCTGGTAGGTCTACGTCCATTCTAGATTTCGAGAGAAGTCCTAAGGAAAAGACTTTGATGGAACTATGTTCTCAACATACGCTGTAGTCTCGAAATTGTGCTACAGGTACAACTTATTTCACAGCATTGTAGACAGCCCTCTCACATGGAGGAGTGGGGTCACGATTAAAATAATCACGAGCCCCACATTTTGTGAGAGAGCTGTCAGATAAAGTGTACAGCATGTACTGTACACTTATCATTTTCCGAAGTCTCGAGGGTATATCCCTAAAATGATAAAAAACTTGTCATGGATTTAACCATATTTGATAAAGTTTTGTCTCCTCTCTCAAATACCATTTTGTTGGGGGTGTCCATTTGCACCTCGATTGGATACAATCACATATTCTGACGGGTATTTCCTAAATCCGTGTACAAGGTATTCATGACCTTAATTTGATCGAAATGTCTTGATATTTTTCTCCAAATGTTTCTCAACCTTTGTACGATACTCTTTGAACTTTTCAGATTTTTGAACTTTTATACTTCATTAATATGTACTCATTAATATGTACCTGTATCTCGAGTAATCATCCATAAATTAGACAAAGTACTCGTGATCGCCTATCGCAGTTGCACTCGTAGGACCACATATATAAGAACTGATTATTTCTAAAACATCATTGGCACGATATTCTTTAGCTGAAAAGGATCTCTTGAAGGCAAGATTCACAGATTAAATATGGTTCCACCTTTAAACCATTTAGAACCCATCTTTTTTCAACTTTTTATTATCTTATATATCCAAGTCTTAAATGTCACAAAAATATTCATTAGCCGAAGATAATATTATGTTATTGTTCCAGTAGTATTATAAATTACACTAGTAGTTGAGTGTAACATATGGAGATAGATATCAATCAAGCCAAACTGGAGATTATTATCATATAGTGACATAGACTAATAGAAGATTATTGTGGATAGGCCACGACCAATACTTTTCTGTCATGTTGGGCCTAGACAACGGAGGTCTCCCAATCGACACCTTTCATAATTTATTTGATTTATTTTTGGAATTAAAAATAAAATATTCTCGTGTCGACCATAAGCTTAACTAGCTAGACTCTACATAACCATATCAAATCTAGGCTAGACCCTCGATGTCATGTGACGAGTAATTCCAGACGCGAACGGTTAGACCATGTTTCAACACTATGGTGATGGTACTCGAGAAATGGACCCATTCAGTTAGTGAAAGAACAATTATCTATGAATTCATAGAAAGGTAAAGGAAAAATCTACGAATTTACGTACACAAAATTTATTGAACTCCATAAGCAGAACCCGAATCCTAGAATTTGTTCCTTTCCTCCAAGAAACTTCCGACCAATTCTCTTTTATATAGCAATGTCAATCACTTTGATCTTTTCATCCAAGAAACTTCCTACAATGTTCTACCAGCAATTTCAAACGCAAGTTAAGATAAAATGATTTGTATATCCCGTAACAAAAAGGACAACCTTAGATTTTTTTTTCCTCGATGATTGAAAACCACCACCTTCTACCGTCTACCTCCTATATATACATATATACACACATACAATTGTGCTACATATACATAATAGTTTACATAATGATTTACATATGCATGATATAGTAAAATATGATTGGATCAACATTTTTTCAACCAAAAAAATTCCCTATTCTCTTTTTGACTCATATTCTATATATAAATTATTATATAACTCCTTATATACAAGTAGCATTATATATGTAATGTCATCTTCATTGTTGTATATATTACTATATGTATATATGCAACACCTTCATGACTCTACACGATACGTCACCAAATAGAAATAGGAAACTTCAAAGTCCGTCTGACGTGTTTCTGCTTTAGACTCCCATACGATATGTTTCTGTTAAGTTGTGAAGCCTAATTACTATCATTTCGTGAAGCAATTTAGGAATTTGTAGACTTTTGAAATTCAATTTTACACTAATTTATCTTATAAACCGAGAGCTGTAAAAAGGAGATAAAGAGATGCTAGAGAAAATAAGAGTGCAAATTTTTATTTTTGTACATATATATATATACGGTTTTGCTACATGTACATAATAGTTTATATATGCATGATATAGTGAAATATGATTGGATCAACATTTTTCCAACCAAAAATAAATAAATAAAATCCTCCATTCTCTTTTTGACACACACACACACACACACACACACACACATATATATATATTGTAATCTTCATTGTTGTATATATAACTATATGTATATATGAAACACCTACACAATACGTCACCAAATAGAAATAGGAAACTTCAAAGTCTATATGATGTGTTTCTGTTTCAAACTCTCATACGACACGTTTGTGTTCAGTTGTGAAGCCTAATTACTGTCACTTCCCGAAGCTATTTAGGAATTTGTATTCTTGTAAAATTCACTTTTACACTAATTTATCTTATGAACCAGCAGCCGTAAAAAGGAGATAAAGAGAGGCTAGAGAAAATAGGAGTGCAATTTTTTTTGTAAACATTTTTATCATAGTAAATTACTTCAATGATAGGAGCAAACGTAGTCTCACATTAAGAAAACCCTGTAGAAATTTTGTATGTTATTGAATGTTTATTTTTCTTTCTTCAAGCAATCAGCGGAGTAGAATTATAGTTTATAATTGTCAAAGTTTCCTCTAAGCAGCATCCACCTAAAATGAACTGTCATTAAAAAATGGCTATGGAAAGCTTAGTATCTATGAGCTAATGTGGCTCCTTCAAAGAATTGTATCTATACCTGCACAGAAGATGAGATGGAGTTATTTCTGGACAAAACCAAGTCTTGATTTCATCAATTCCTGGTTCTTTTACGATGCGATTATCAACACGGACCAAAAAAAAAGCTCGAAGAAAATCAAGATAGCTTAATCGAGAAAGATATGCGAAAAGCATTCGAGGGTTTTGACTTGAATGGTGATGGCTTGATTTCGAGCGAGGTACTTCAGAATGCACTGTCAAGATTATAGGGTTATTTGCAGAATTTTAGAAAGCTGTCTATGTTATTCTTTTCCAACCCTGCTCCCTGTCCCGGCTTGGGGACAGGGTCCGGGACAGGTGGCTTTATTCTTTTCCTTATATGTTGAGCAACATGTTTATTGGCAGTTAGACCTTTTTTCCTCTGTTGCTGATCTTTGATGAAGACTTTTCTCTTCTATTATAATTAATTGAACATTTTACTATTTTTTCTTGATTTGTTCATCAGCCTATGTACGACGATGTAGTAACCGTGGTTTTGCAGTTGTCCTCGAATAGACTAAACTATTCTTACTAATAGTGTGCTAGGCTCGCGCTAAGCTCGATATCAATAGCAACTCTTGAACGACCACAAACGTTGTGAATTTCAACATGTCGCGCCTAGTTGATCTGAATTTTTTTTTTCAAAAAAAATCGATATTTTTGGTTCAAACTGGTAGGCCTAATAAAGCACGAATTAATTGTTGATGGTGGACAAATGATGATAAGTTGGATTTCGCTCTATTTTATACCATCAGCAAAGTTGGTCTACATGACGAATTTACGTTCAAAATGTGAACCATGGCCATTTCCAATTGTGTGCGGTGAAGGGAAATAGAATAATGAGTGAATGGGTAGCTCACTCTTCAGAGTCCTTGGGGCGTGTCCAGACCGCTTCTTGGAATTGTCATTTTGGTGATTATTTATCGATCACTGGTATTAAGCATTGATCTCAGTTGCTATTACATGATATTAAATGATAAGTTCATTTAATTACAAAGTAACATGACTCATTTAATTGAACATATAAAATTTAGCCACTTAAACTGGTGCCAGATAAAATTATTCTTATTTAAATACAATCCCGTGAAGTCGAAACATCAAAATCTAATTTGAATCGACTTCCTCTTTACACACTTCCGCTTTACACAATCCCTCTTTAAGTGAGAAAAGTTTTATTGGGATGATTTTTGCAACTTAACCCTCTTTGGTTCTCATTATTTTAAAAAAAAAAAAAAAATAAAGAATTTGAATAGTATTTTTAGAGAACTTGTGGTTAAAAAGTAGGGAAATTTTGAATTTATGTACTCAATATTTAATTGTGTGAATGTTTTGTCGAAAATGATTCTGTAACAAAATTTTCTTTTGAAACAATGAACACCAAATTGGGGCTTAGTAAGATTATTAACTCAGTTAATGACATGTGGTAATTTGTGTCATAATTAGTTTCTACTCCACTTAGTATTATAATTTGGAGAGCGTCTATAAATTTAGAGAATAAAAATTTAGCTCTTAATCTTACCACTCGAAAATGAAAAAAAAAAATTTATTATTTTCTCTATTTTTTATTTTAACTAACTTTTGTTTATATTATTATATTGTTTTTCTGCATTGAAAATTTAAATACTTTGAATGTATTTAATTATAGAGAGTGAGGAGAGGAGAGCCAAACTTGCTCTTTATATTAAAATGTTAATTTAAAAAATTTCTTTGAAGATGATTTTAAGTGCCGACTCTTTAAACTAAAGAGCATCTCATATTTAAAGAGTATTTTAAAGATACGCTTTATCTCTTATTTTTTTCAAATTACTTATTCAAAATGATGACACCAGTCATTAATGTCAAATCTTATTTTAATTTGTTATCCTCTCTCATTTTTTACCGACTTTAGTTGTTAATCTTCTTATTCTTATTATCAATATATTATACGCCTCATATGAACATGAAACCAAAATTCATCAAATTACTTCTTTTATTCTCTTTTTTTAACAAAAGGAATATACATCATTAAATTGATAGCGATTGTTTTGCCAATTAATTTGTCAACAAATTTATTAAATTAAATAAAAATCAATTAATCCTCACATACGTTGTTTTCATTCTGTCTCATCCATTATACAAAATATGGTATTTCATAATGTTTTCTAAAAGGTTGAACCCCAACCTTGAGGGCCCTCATGGCTCCGCCCCTAAAACTTTGCGAGGGAGGTAAATCGCGAGATGTGTCCCAACATGTCAGGGAACAAAAGCTGTTTGTATACTGCGTCTACAAGGAGTCCAATTTCATGTCTCAGGAATCAAATCCCCACACTGTGGCTGTTAGCAAGGCATGAGATAACCTCACTCCTATCCTTTGCACCACTAGGCTATGCCCCATGGGGCTATTTCATAATGTTTTCTACCATCAATTATAGGTTGTTTAAGTAGAGAAGACATGTTTTTTATTGGATAAATTAATTAACTGGTTGACATATTTATAAATAAAATAACTCTATAGTTTCTTTTCTTGTATAAATGGTTTTGGCAGAAATTCTATTTTCATAATTGATGCTTTTCTTTTACGTGTAAGTCATAAAATCTTTGGTTGGCTGAAAATAAGGAACATGAGAAAAAAAAGGTATATACAAGGATGAAATGACGAAATTAATGAAAACTTGAATTCCACGGCATTATTGCTGTTGATAAATAAAGAGTATAAAAGAAGTAATTTAATGAATTTTGGTTTCACTCTTAGTTCATATGAGTTGTATAATAATATTCCAACAAAAAATAGGAAGATTAAAACTAAATTTAATGAAAAGTAAGAGATGAAATCAAAGTAAAATAAGGGTCTGTTTGATTGCAAAAATGGAATTTGAGTGGAAAGAAAACGAATTCCATGTGAAAAATGTTAAAATAAAAGTATTTTTTTATGTTCGTTTAACTTTGTTTTATGTGAAAATTGTCAGTTAAAGAAATAGATTTTACTGGTATTGGAGATGAAATTTGTTTCCATTGCCAAAATAAATAAATAAAATCATCTATCTTTTGGTTTTATTTAACTTTGTTTTACATGAAAATTGTCAATTAAAGGGAAATTTTTTTTTACAATAATTTTTAGAATTTATTTCCATTGTCAACCAAAAAAAAAGAAGAAGAAGAAGAAAAATGGCAGATCAGCCTAGAAATCAAGAGAATGTAGCAAACCAAGAAAACCAAAAAAGAGAATTCCATGGAAAAAATTGTTGTCAAACATCATAAAAAGTGGAAGTTGGAAAATGAATTCCATTTTCCATGGAATTGGGTACCTATCAAACAAGCCCTAAGATTTAAACATAATAATACTTGTCGTCATTTGAGCGCGTGAGTTGAGATCGTTCTATCAAATTTTAACGTAGAGATACATTCTTTTATATTTTATCACAATTTGATGACAAAAGTGAACATATTCTCGAGCCTTATTGTTTACGACAATATATGTTATCATGTGTATGATTTTCAAAGACTTGTCATCAAATGCTATTGTTTTAGATGGTTATTCTTTTTATCCTCATTCTTAAAAATTTATTTGAACTGCAGAATTTAAAAAAGGAAAAAGAAATTAGAGGTAGAACCACTTATTGAAGGAGTCTATTACTATAAAACCCAAATGTTAATCTTCATAAGAATTCTTTGCAAAATGATGATTTTCAAGCCCCCTCTAATTTCATATGATTCTTGTAGTTATTGATAGTTTTTCAGCATGCTTAAATTAATTACAAATATTTGAATCAGGTCAATTCAAGTAATTTATCATTCATTATCAGTACTTGAACATGACCTAATATATGGTGATAGGCAATAGAGGTGTAAAACTGATTGGACACGATCAACACTTTTTAGTCATCTAAGCTTAGCCCCAGCCAAATTTCACCCCGTATGGAATCTAGGCTAGACACTCGACATGATGAGTCGATTGAGACTCGAACCCCAGCCAAATTTCACCCCGTATGGTGATGGCTCTTGAAGAATGGATGGATTAAACAAATATTCAAAGACTACCCATTCAGGCCGTCAAAGAACAATTATCTATGAAATCAAAGAAAGACAAAGGAAAAATCCAGAGAAATCTATGAATTCATTTAAGAGTAGAGCCAGAATGCTTAAATTCCTAGAAGTTTCGTTCTATAATCTCAATCACCAAAGTCTTTTTCATTTAAGACTGTCAATGAATTTGTTCTCCTTTGCCAAGAAACTTCCCATCACGTCAACCACAAGTTAAGATAAAATTGATTTGTATATTCCGTACAAAAAAAGACAACCTCATATTCTAATCTCAATAATGGAAATGGACAATCTTCTACCTGCTATATATTTGCAGCAACCTCAAGCATACAGAACCAAAAACACGACACGACACAACACAACACAAACATAAGAAATTCGATACGACATGTTTTCTCTAAGTACCAGCCACTTGCAACGAATTTTCAATAAGCTCGACAAAAATGGCGATGGCAGGGTGAGTATCGACGAGTTAATGTGGCTTCTTCAAAGAATTGGCATCTATACATGCCGAGAAGATGAGTTAGAGTTATTGTTGGGCAAAACATCCCTTGATTTTATCGATTTCATATTCTTTTATGACTCGATTATTAACATGGATGAAAACAAACACAGGGACGATCAAGATAGCTTATTCGAGAACGATCTGCGTAAAGCATTCGAGATTTTCGACTTGAACGGCGATGGATTGATTTCAAGTGAGGAGCTTCAAATTGCATTGTCAAGATTAGGGTTATGGGATAAGCATTGCAACAGCCTGGACTCTAAAATTATTATCAATGTGTATGATACAAACTCCGACGGCTTTCTTGATTTCGGGGAGTTCAAGAACATGATGCTGTTTGCACAATCCTAGGAAGTGTTATGATTTTCTTTGCAGACTTAATGATGTAAAGTTTGTACATATATATTTATCAGTGAATAACAATTATATCCATTCAACTCTAGTTATCATCATCATCATCATCACTGTGTCATTTGCAACCCTAATTCTTCCTTTGTAAATATGGAGTTTTGAGTATCAATAAAATACACACGTCTATTAACAACATGATGTTGTTTACAATAACCAAGGAAGTGATATGTTTTTCTTTGCATACTTATATGATGTCAAGTTTGAATGAATTATTGTAAATAATATGTTTATATCCCTTCAACTGTAGTTATTATCATCATCACTGTATCATTTGCAGCCCTAACTCTTCCGGGAAATGCTATTCTATCTCATTCTCCACCAGGCTCCATACAGAATACTCACATACAGGGGCCCACCCAAAAAAAAATTGGCTAAAAAAATACCCACCCCATCCCCCTGCATGCGAGTATTCTGTATGGAGCCTTGTAGAAGGAATTTTCCAACTCTTCCTTGTAAATATGAAATTTTGGTTTTCAATAAAATATATAAATATATATTAATTTCTCTACTTTCTTTTCATTTTCTCTCTGTTTTACATCAAAAATATTTATGACTTATCATATCCTTTTTTATTAGGTGCTTTAATGACGACCTCTCTAGTTGATTATCATTAAGTCATTTTTGGAAACATCCAATGAATTTAGAATAATGCTAATAATTTAGAGTCAAAATAATCGATGATATGTGTCAGTATCATCATCGATACATTGTCCAATATCTAAAAATGCATTCAAACTTCACGAAATAATGCTAAACCAATGTCACAAACAAATGATCATCTAGACTTCAGATGAATGGCATCACGAATTTATAGGCAGAGTAATAAATCAAATGGAACAGATAAAAATAATTTATGCCGTCCAACCTAAATGTACTATAAATAATAGAAGCCAGTTGTGCAGTCAAAAAATAAGACAATATACATACAAATAAACATAGTTCAGCTCAGCTAAAACGTTAACCAGCTATACATAGACCAGAGCTTCCAAATCATCAAAACAAATTACTCACATATTGCTACTTATAAATCAACCATTGCTACTTATAAATAAACCAAGTTTCCATAAATCTTTATTTATAGGTGCAGAAACTTTCAGAAAAGAAGGCTATTTTGATGGATCAATGCTCACTCTAGACCATCCAAATAATTTCTGCTCACTTAAAATGACCTATTAGGTTTAGGAGATGAGGACTTGGCTTTTGCAAAATCAACCAGATCTTTGAACAGTGCATCTTCAGTAGAATTTTCCCGTCGGGTATTGGCTGGTGATTTGATAGAGAGATTCTGAGTTTGCCCGACTAAGCTGTCGTAAGAAGAACCAGATCCACTACTCGAGTGAGAGGCACCACGACCATAAGAGTTTTGCTCGAAAAATTGCTGTCTCTGGTTATACCTGGAAGGTGGAGGCGGGAGTGGGACGGGGGCAGGAACGTCCCAAGGAGCCGGAGGCAACTCATCAGAAGATTTGCTTTTTGGAACAGGTTCATTGTATGGGGATTTTGGAGAAAACATTGATGCTGTCGGATTTATCAAATCGTCCGGAGGGGAGGTGGACAACTTGGGTTTCACGTTAGGGGTTGAGTTTCGGCCATTAGACCGAGACCGAGCAGAAATAGGAGTTGATCCTGATCTTCCCAAAGACCGTTCTGATTCATAGAAATCCCCACTTAGATAATCCACCGTACCAGAGTCAGAACTAGTAGGTTTAGTTATTGATGGTGGAGGAACAATTGGTTTGGTCCAAGTGGGTTCACTCTTTCCAGCAATGGGCTTTCGTGACAGTCCTTGCAATGTATCCCTTGATGATCTGCAATGAATGCAGTAATGTAACATCAATACCTCATTCAAGAAGGGTTCGGAAAATTTATCAAAGTACTATTCGATGTTGTGTTAATAAGATAACAAAAATGTAGAGCGTACTTGCAGCATCAGTACCCGCGGCGCCTAGAAATGTACCTTTATGCAAATAACTTCTATTTATAATCCTGTTTCTCCTAGAACAAGAGTTGATTTTACAAGCTTTAGGTAGTTTTGATAACTAGAATTTTGATGTGATTAGTTTTAGACTTTTAGTATATTAGCAGCAGTTTCATAAGATTTAAGTTTTTTACTATGTAAAGAGGAACCTGTTATTTTCAATTTACACTCAACATTATTATTCTTGAACCTAAAGATTTCCTTGGTCACGTGCATCTTTAAATGCTTCGCCTAATCTCTAGTCAAAGAGGAAAGGCTAATCGAGGTTTTTACGGCAGTTATCTTAGTTGCATATTCTTGATGCAGCCCTTGTAGAATGCACAAAGTACGATAAGAAATGAATCCAAACAAGAAAGTAGTGTAATTAAGTTAACCTGTGTGCTAACTGAGCAATATCATCTTCCAACTCATCATCCTCGTGATTGACATTCATAAGAGGAGGTGCAACTGGAGTCTCTGTTGTCCCTAATGCAACTGTCAGGGTTCCTTTGGCAATTTCATCATGCTTTTTCAGAACGCGCTGCAAATTATCATTCAGTGCTAATCCCTTGCATAGAAGATCCTCATCCCTGAAAAAAGAAGCGACATTTCCTCTTAGAAACTTAATTAAATTCAAAAATATCAAAATACCAAGAAAAGCTGTATTCGTACGCAGTATTATTCACAAGAACTGTGACTCGTTTTTGGTATGAACGGCACTGTTCAACAAGGTCAGCGATCACCTCATCCTTTACACCCTGTGCCCAAATCCAAAAGGTTAATAAACAGTAAGTATGAATAATCTACAGCAGAACCATAGTTCCTCTTAAAGAAATCCTAACTGTTAATGAACCAAAAATATGAATAATCGACAGCAAAAACAATATTCTTCTTCCGAGAGAGCCGTGCTTTCAACTTAATTATAAAAAAATCTAATCTGCATCAAATTTGTCGCTCTCTGATCAATAGAAACAAGAAATGCCTAGAGAAGAGTTGAGAACAAAGTGGCGAATGGGTGCGTAACGTGTGGGAGTCTGCCGAACAGTTCACTTCAGCATTTCCTCCTATAAGATATTCTATTTATTCCTACTTCTATCAATAAAGTAAGAGAGAAGGTTGTCTTTCAAAGAAAAAAAGATTTTTGCCCCAGATACAATATTATAATGGGTTAAAAACACAGTTAGCCACCCAACTTAATGCATTGTTTCACTTTGGTCACCAAGGTTGTTCCTTGTTTAACTTTCATTTTTGTTGCAATTTAAGCATTATGTCTTTCTCCTGAACAACATAAAAAATGGTCATTGTTTATGCTCGTAAAGCATAAAAATGATTTATTGGGAGGGCCATAAAATTAATAGAGATACTAATGTGGCTAATGAAAAGAAATAAGTAGCATGAAAAATTATTAAGTGCATTGTTTTAATCCTCCAGGTGGACAAAGTCTTGTCATATATTTTTCCGAAGTAAGAAGAAGAATCTAAATCTTCTTCCCGAATCCCTCACAGCCCCCCTCATCCATCACCACTACTTCCATAGTCAATCTTACAAAGAGAAAAACGACAACACAATAAAATTTAAAAAAAATAAATAAATTATAACCTGACGATTCTTTGGATCCAAAGCACGAAGCATTTCCATCAAAACATCAGCAAGTCCCTCAGCATTTTGAATTTCTGACAAGCTGCACCATTGAAAAAATAAAATAAATAAATCTTATAATTAAGGACTGCAATCCATGTGACTATGGTAGTCATGAGCTTCTTTGCTTTAGTACTTAGAAGTATTAAGCATTACCAGCAGTACTAACTATTGGAATAATGACTTTCCATTTTATTCCCTTGCCAATTTATTGGTTTGAGCCGAGAAAATGGTCCAGTGAATAACTTTAGCATCAGGACTGAACAATTCATTGAATGTATTTAAACCAGCCCCATCAAAGTTCTTGTTAAAAAAATTATGCTTTTCAATCCTAAAAATGAAGCAATCTAGAAACATGTTTTGCTAAACTTTAAAAGTTTACTGAAGTAAATAAAAATTTATGGCCAAAGTTGGAAAATGGAGGAAGTTAGGCTAAGCTAAAGTTATAAAGAAGCAGCTTTTTTTTGAAAAGTGGATAGAGACATAATTCACAGAAAAGTTGAAAGTAATATTTATACTTAGCCACACATGTTGCATGCAGTTATTTACTTGGACAGTAAGTTAACAGTTGCTCTCAAAATTACTTGTTTTACTTAAAAGGAAGTCATCCAAACACACAGGGAAACAAAGCTCTAAATAAACTATTTACACAATAATTGTAGTCATATACAGTTTACACCAATCATCCCCACTAAACTCTCCACTTGCTAAGACAACATATTCAACCCTGGCAGTCGGAAAAAGCTGAAAGCATTTTTTAGTTTAGAAATAAACATCACGATGAGAATGTAACTATTTTATTTAAGTACATAAAGCTTTGTGAACCGATCAGTGCAATGCAAAAATTAAGGGAAAAGGATAAACCTGAGCCCAGAGGCATCTGACTGAAGAGAGGCCTGAACAGCGGCTTCCTCATATGCAGAAACAGAATACTCTATTGGATGTGTTTGTGGTGGGGTGAATAGTGGTACATGTTCCTCTCGAGGTGGGAATTCTACACCAGCAGACTGTCATTTTCAAACAGAAGTGAGTTCTTGAACTTTAATGGCGTGTTCATTCAGATGATTTAATAGCACCGGACAATGCTAAGGAAGAAAAAAGCTAAAATCTTATTGATTGCATTCTCGAGCCATATCTAACATTGTGTAACACAAATGCATTGAAGTTGGAGGGATAGAGTATACAACAAAGGAAGATAGAGTTATATCAGTCAAGCATCAAATACAAGGAAGCAAGTTAGATAAGATAATTTAATCGTATAATACAAAATCATGTGAAAATTAGAATGTAAACTAACACACTGCAGAGACCAGTTGTTACATGCAAAGTTAAAGCCAGTGAACTGGTAAAGCAAAAGGCATTGGTCTCTTGAAGGTCAATGGCATTATTAAGAAAGAAAACAAACTAAAATCTTGTTCATTGTAGTGTCTAGTATAGTCTAATAATATATGCAATGAGAGTTCTGAAAACGAAAAATAATTTACTCAATCAGAAAGCTCTCAGATCTCCCTCCCTCCCTTGCCCTCACATACACAACAAAAAAGCTTATACAAATGATCTGGCATGTATTTCTTTGCTACAATGTAAAGTATTTTCTAGAGGTCGTGAAAACTGATTTTATTCTCTTGTATTTGGTAGCATTTACTCGATTCCAGAATAAAAATTCTCCATGCATAATAGCATTTTAAAAATGAATTAAGTTTCTGGGCAAATCATTTTTCTGAACATAATTCCATCAATTTCCCAACAGTATAAGCAAGCACAAGAGTGATAACAATTTATCATGTACAGAACTACATTCAGACAGATATATGTAGCCATTGCACATAAATAAGCTCATAGAGCTGAACTCGTGCATGTTATTATATCTAAAAAACTATTTTTGGGCTACAACAGATGAGCATTTATCCTTTATGCACTTTCAAATTAGCTTCTTCAAAGTTTTCATCAGTGAGAGATAAATTTCAATGCATAACTTAAAGGGAATCATGCATCCACAGGAAGCTGAAAAACTGCCTCGACATTCAGCAAAAGCTTTAAGAGGAGAGAAAGAAGCCAATATATTTAAGTTAATATAATCCTTTTTTCAAAGCTTGTATGCTTCTTAAAAATTTGTATTCCAAGCAGATCCCTCAAGGTACTTAAATAAATATTTTGTAAAAAAAGGTTTTCCCAAAATTGAGATAAACAATAATGTAAGAACTGAACGGCATGTAACAAAAAATTCCAACCCAGCTTCTTCTTTTCAAACTCAATTTATTTGTGTACGCAAATACCAAGGAAAAGATGCCTGAAGCCAATAAAAGCTAGGGCGCATGTATTAGCAGATCAATGATAAAAGCTACCTCAAAACACAGAAAAACCATTGACATGAGAGAGGGGGGGAGGAGAGGAGGTAGTAAAGCTCATTTAACAGTTCTTTCTATATTGAATGTATCTATCATCTGTTTTACAAATCTTAAAATACAAATTGATGCTACTGTAATTGTAATGGAGAAAACAATATTTCTCCTTTAGACATGTTACCTTTTGATGGAATTCTATCAACAGGAATATAATATCAAGGTATAGTACTAACAGCATGAGCTAATAATGATTATATAAATGAAATAACAGAAGGTTGCAAGTAAATGTCAATCTTCTTTAAGCAAATAGAGATAATGGCATATAAGCTCAGTTTTACAAATGAAATGTGACTAAGCTTTCACTGCAAAGAGTTTAATGAACTTTAATTATAAAATATAATTGGGCCGACCTATAAAAAGCACAAAGAGATGTAAATTACCTTCAGCTCATTATAGGCAGCATAATATTGGGGAAACCTTCCCCTGGGTCCCCCAAAGGCTTCTTGCCAAGTATCTATCAAGATTAAGATTTTCTCCCTCACATTTAAATCAGGCTGCAAGAGTATAATTGAACGCAATACATAAAAGGTACATTAGGGTCTCGAAGGGTAATAACAAAAGATATCAAGAGCAAAGATGATACCTTCTTCTTCACTATTTTGACCATTTCACGTAGAATATCCCGCTCGATGATCTGCTGAAACAGATTCTCCCCACAATTTTTGGTAAGAGTCTCCAGAACCTAGAACGAAACATGTTTGTAAGGATAGACTTTGCACAATTGCCTTATAAACCCTTTTATCCACAGAGTAGATATTACTTCAAAACTTGACCAATGTTGCCATCAACCTTCTCTTGTAAGTATACCTTTCCTGAGTCTACATAGTAAATCTTGAAAAATGTGCTTTGTACAGGTTAATGCTCTAGACTTATCAGGGTAAACATATCAAAGGGTCCATGTCTAAGAAGGGAAAACTGAAAACACTCACAAATAATGCAAGGAGCTGTATCTTAGGGTTTTTACTCCCCAATCTTTTCTTGAGTATCTTCAGTGCATCCTTTGCTTGCCTGTGATTTCAATTTCATGAGATTACGCAAAAATATCATTTACTTCAACCTTTGCAATACATATTAAGAGCATCTCCAAAATACTCTATATTTATAAAGAGCATCTTATACATAATAGAGAGCATATTTATATTTAGAGAGTAATTTCATTTATACACTCCAACAAACTCTCTATTTTGATTTTTGATTTTTATTTTTTTCCAATGAACATTTAATAATTTCTCCACATATTTAAAAAAAAAAATTTTATATATTAATGACCAATCAATTCAAATGTAATTTGAAAATTTTAAATTGTAGAGTATTGAAATTTGTAATGTATTAAATGCAATCATTGTACATTAAAAATAGAGAGTGGGTTTAGCTCTTTAAATTTGGAGAGTCAAACACACTCTCTACTTTAAAAAGTTAAAATAGAGAGTTTTTTGGAGCTCATTTTTAAGCATTGATTCTCTAAAATAAAGAGTATTTTGTATTTAAAGAGTCTTTTGAAAATGTTCTAAGAGACTGAAAGTACAAATATGAAATATGATCCAGCGAGTTCCAAATTTGACACTCGAATTCAAAATTCTAAGGGGAAAGAAAGCCTCGGAGCATGACATATACATTTCCTTGTTTTTATTAAAAAACAAAAAAAAAAAGGAATATCTATTAATGCTTAGCAAGATGGATATCTTGTAATATTATTCACTGACCCTACCTAAAATCACATTCTCGCTACTCACTCCACTTCAAATGTAATAAATCAACGATTTCCAAAACTTGTCCAGGGAGAAAAACAAATAGATGGCATCTACTTCTTGCATCAATAATAAATTAGCATCACCGGAAATCTATCACATCGAGCATGTTTTGTTAAGCTTAAAAGGGTTCGCTTAAAAGTTTACTTGTAAGGAATAAGTATAAATTCGTAAATTTTTTTAATTGATCAACATTAAAATAAGTATGTCTCGGGCAGTAAGGTAAAGAGTTTATTTCAAAATAATTAACTTTTGTTTAGTTAAAAATTAGATTATTTAAAAATAGATTAAAAGCATCCAAAAGTTACTAATTTTTAACCTTAGCCAAACATGCTCATTGTAATTAAATAAAATTTCAGGCCACACAAGTGAAAAATTCTCTAGCCGTTAAAAAGACTTCCAGGGTGCAATCACGACCTTAAAAATCAATATGCCAATAAAACTGCAACATCAAAGATGTGAATCATCTGGACTGGAAAAAACAAGAACCGCGAAGGAAAAATATACAAATCTATTCAAGTAAAAGTTACACGAAATGACTTGGAAAGGAAAAATAAACGAAACAATACCCAGGATCCATATTTATGACATCGCAAAGCTCTATGTTCACTGCCCAGTCTGGACCAATCAACGTGTCACTAGTTGCCCTCTCAGCAATAGCTGCCGCGTTAGCCATATTTGTCTGTTTTCTAATGCCGGTTCCTTTAACTTCCTAAAACAAACACAAACTCGACACAGTCAATTCACATCACCAATTAAATAACCCAGGTACCTGCAGAATACAGACTAACAGAACAGCTAAGAAATCCAAACAACAAAATCTTTTGAAGAATGGGCACACCCTTTGCATCATATAAGACACGAAAACAGATCTGACACATTTTCTAGCGCAATGGAATGACAACAGGAAAACCCAGAAAGAAACTGATAAATTTATGCTCAAATATACGCAAAATTACACTCTAGAATTATATATGATAATCAAGCAGCCTCAGAAGTAAAGTACGAGATAAAGCAAAACTTATAATTAAGAAACCAAGCTATAATTCTTTTCTCTTAGCAATAAATGCAAACCCGCTGATAATTTAAATTACGAAAAATCACCAAACGAATAAACAAAGTCATTAAAGAGAGTGACCAAAAATATAATTCCGACCCGCAAAATAACATCCAAGAAAATAAAGTCTCAATTCCAAAATCAATCACAGAGAAAAAAAAAATGAAACATCGATTCTTTCAAGCAAAGAAAGAGAACCAGTTCGCATAATCACAAGGATCAAGAATTAAAAGAATCAAATTCAGACAAAGAAAATACCAAAGCAGAAAAAAGTCAGGATCTTTAGAAGATCACCGGTCAGAACCACCCCACCGTCTAGTTTAGTTTATAGAGAGAAGAATATAATAGTATAAATATGAGAGAGAGAGAGAGAGAGAGAGGAATGAAGGGATTTTGCTCTATATGGGGTTTTGGTACGATGCCATCTTAAGCTTCAATCTTTTTACTGTTTGCAAGAATGAAAATTGACATAATATTATATAATATTATATAATTTTTTATTTTATTTTATTATTATTTTTTTTTTTAATGCGTCCAGGTGTTTGGAACAATGTTCGAAGAAATTACCATTCAAGAGTATATAGGTTCCATTCAATTCTTTTTTAATTTTGAGATGCCCAAAACTTTCAATTTAAGTACAATAAAGTCCTTTGGACCGAAATCGTGAAGAATTTCATGAAATGTGTCACTTGATCCACATATGATCATTTTGAATGGATTTTCTTAAAAAACAAGCAAAATAATAATAATAAATATATTAATTATGTTCTTTATCATTAAAACCACTTCCTCGAGTGGAGGGGATGAAAGCAATAAGGGATTATGGATAATGATGGAGATTACAACAGGTAAAAGGTATATCGATGGATCCTGAAAATGAATGTGATTTTTCATAATTAGTTTCCTTTTCTTCTTCTATTTTTTCTTTTTTTGTTTCTTTTTGAAGACATAAAAGTTATCAAAAAAAAAATGTATAACACTTCCTTCTAAAAGGACTTTACTTGCACCTATTGAGACTTTGAAGATCTCAAAATCCAAGAAAAATTAAATATTAAAAATGGTGACTCAAATGCTCCAAGTTATAAAGTTTGGAGGCCACTGCTGCAAATTTCCGTAATTACAATTTACACGACTAGGGGTTTACCATCCGTTGACCATATTCTATTGCATTCTTCGCTATAACCATTGGTCTGTCATGGGAGATCGTCACAGCCTTGTCGTTATATAATTCTTTGGCTTTGACTTTTTCGTTGTTTAACGACTAAGCAAATAGTACCACAAGCGCGTCATTAAAATGGCCCACCTCCACAATGGTCTACTGTTTAGTGTTTACATTGACCATTGCTGGTGTTGACCAGAGTCAGCCTATACCAATTATCACTTCAAATTATTAAAAAAATAATAATAAATAAGGATGTGTTTTTCAATTTTATTCATAAAACTTGTGATTTGATATTTAAAAAAATGTATTTTTGAAAACAAAGCTAAACTTATAATATAAACTGAAACGCGTTTTAATTGTTTGGAATGTTTTTATTGAAAGTTCTGAAAACACTCAACAAATGGGAAATAAGTATTTAAATTAAATTTTAAAAATTTAGAATTCTCAATATATATATATATAATTCTAAAAAAAAATAAAGTTCTAGAAACCTTTGGTAAAATACTCGCTCGGACAAACATGTTTACTTCACCAAGCCCCTCTTCGAGAAGAAAAATAATAATTTTGATAAATTTCTAAACAATAAATATTTTGAAAAAAAAATAAAATCTAAAACTCTATAAAAAATTAAATTGTTAAATTTTAAAAAAATAAAAATTCAAAAAATAAAAGTCTAAAAACATAAAAAAAAATAATAATAAGAAATAAAAACAATTGAAGCTCTTAATGGTTATTTATTAAAAAAAAAGTTAAAAATATGTTTAAATGAACACAAATAAAAATTTTGTGTCCGCGTCATTATTTTTTATTTTCTATATTTTTCAACTCAATTTATATTTATTTATTTATTTTGTTATTTTTATAGCGAGAAAAAAATATGTTAAGATTCATTAACTTAAATACGTATATATTATTTGATAATATATTAACAAAAAAATCATCTATTTAATTTATTGAATGATCAAATTTCGTGGAATAAAATCTCTGAAAATAATTTTTTAAAATTTTAAACCAGACGGACTTTCTAAATTTCTATAATAATTAATAATTTTATGGTCAACTCATTTCACATCTTCTTATGAATTATTATTATTATTGTAAAATTGAAGGGGTTCATTTTAGAATCAAAATATATTGATGAAGCACTTATGTAATTTGAAGAAGCATAATAGTGAGTCAAACTCTTCTTGACTTCGGCCAAACACTTTTTTCTTTAGTGATTTAACGTAATTTTGGTCTAAGTCTCTTCATATTCATCAACTCAAAAGACCAAGATATTAGGTAGGAGAGTCATCAAAGCGAAATGTTCAACATTCATCTATCCGTATGCAATTTCTCCGTGTGGAGATGACTACCTTCTATGTTTTAGAATGTCTACTCTTAGTAGAAGTGACGAAATTATTTAAATTTTAGCTAGAACAATTATGTTCGTATCTTGTTCCAAACAAATGTGTACATTTCAATTTAAATTCGTAATTGTTTAAGTGTTGATTGGCTTCGTTGATGTTATAGAGATTATGAAGAAGAGGATTCAAAAAGAAAAAGATGACGACGAATAATAGAACTAGAAGCACGATTTGAAGGATTTTCGAAATTCTTAGCTCTATTATGCTTTTTTTAATTTTTAATGTCAACTTGATACTTGAAGAATACTATCGTTTATATTTGCATTTGGCACATACCAGAACACAATTTTATTAATTAAGTTAATTAAGATATTACAAGCGTAGAGTGTATTTGGTACATTATCAGATTGTAATACGAGATAAGGATTAAATTAGTTCGATATGAAGTATAATTCATGTAATACTCGGGTTACAATCCATAATTTATCATTCATTAGTCATGCCAGGTTAAATAGGTTTTTAGAAATAAGTATATTGTTTAAAATATAATAAGGTACATGTTACATAAAAAATAAATAAATAAATAAAAGAGTAACTACTTCACAATTATGAGAGACAATGTTAATTCAACATATTGTTGGACAAAAACTTAGAAATAACTTCTCTTTTTTAAGCTTACCCAAAATACTATGATAAATTTTTTAAATCTTCTAGATACTTGTGTTTTTCTAAGAAAGGTCCTAATAGACTCGATAAATTAAATATACACCTTAATTCACCTTGGTCTCACTTAACGTATTCCTGTCTACTTTAACTTTATTGACCTTAATCATATTCACAATCCCAATATAATATGGTGAGCCAAACACGCCTTTAAATTTTCACATAAATATAACTAATTTTTTGTCCAAATTTTTTTTGATACTTGGATATAATCAAATATCCATTATTGTTGATGATATTCTAAAATATCTAATATTAGTTCATGCACATCTACTTCCATGGTTTAATCGTGTTGCTGATCAAGAGTATTTTTAATAATTTGGTTTTCATCGAGCTTCATTCTTTTAAAAATTCATTTTCAACCACACATTCACATATAAAATAATTTTGTACGTAAATCTAAGACTTTCTTTATTTTTTGACCACACATCCCCCACTCCAAAAATAAAAAATAAAAATATTTCAAAACACATTTCCCTTAAAAAATGGGGCTCAAACAAGAGTGTGACTTTGGAAAATTAAATCTAAAATTGATTGTAGAACATTATGCACTCTCAAGGCATAGCGAACACTTATTGAAGAAGTTAAGTTTCTCAAAAATAATGTGTATAGTAGGAAAAGTGATAGTAGGGTACAAGTTAGGGATGGCAACTAGATGGGGCGCCTCCACCTCACCCTGCCCCGTCTCGTCCAAACCGCCCGTCCCCGTCATGGGGTGACTTTTTGCCCCATTTTATTTTTTTTTATTTTTTTCACATTTTCAAATTTTCGAGTTATGTTATTATTAGAGAATAAAATATAAATTCAAAATTGATTTTTAATGAGTGAATTGTTTAAAAATAAATTTTTTTTTTTTTTCCTTTAGAGGGCGGGGCAAGCCCTGTCCCACCAACTCGTTCGGGAGGGGGTTTTTTGCCACCACTAGTACAAGTTGTAGTGTAGATATTAATGATACTATAATTTAATTAGCGAACTAAATTTCACAAGACTGTCAAACGGAATGCCTAATCTTCGATAATGTTTTTGTAATAAGGGATAGGGTTTCATCAATTTGATGCCAAGTCAGTAACTGGTGGTTTCGAATTGGAAATGGAGATGATAGGGTTGGAGTTACTATTTTTTATATGCATTTATGTGGAATCTTTTAATAGATTTGTATAATTCTCTAGCTAAGATAATTTCTTGATAGATATATAAGTCTTAATTCATTGATTATTACTAGTTGTGCTAATTAAATAAGAATAGCATCGGTCTTCTGTTGATCTCATAGACATGCTATTCGTATACCTCAGTGATAAGATCTGGGGGTCAAAAGTTAGTCTCTCTCTCTCTCTCTCTCTCCTGTGGCAAAAGACGAGTTGAGGAATCATTTTCAAGTAATTCGTTTGTCACTTTATCTTGATCTCGCGGCTCTTTAGTAATTGGAGATGACGAAAATAAAGATCTCAATGCAATGGCGAACGCATATATTTTCAATTAGGCGGACACAATCAAACTTAGAAAAAAGTTATGAACAATGCTTAAGTACTAATCTCGTGAACTTAGTTAATACAAGGCTTAAGCCCTAATCTCGAGTGTGATCAGACAAAATCTGCAAACGTACGGTATCGTTGACAAGTAATAAAAATCGATGAGTTTCAAGCTTGTCGTTTTCAAGAGGAATAATGTCTACTTTGTAGCTACTATTAAATTTGAAGTGTGGTGACGTAAAAAAATATAGTTTGTATGTCTTCTATACAAATATTATACTAAGAAAGCAAATAAAGTACTTATCTAGCCCTTGTTTGAGCCACATTATTAGAATGAAAATGTATTTTTTTAATAGTGTATTGATGAGAAATGTGTGCTTAAGAAATAAAGAAAAATTTTGGATTTACGTGTAATATTATTTTATTGAAAAATGTGTGGTTGAGATGATGTCAAATCACTGTTGAAGAATGTATATATATATATATATATATATATGAGAGAGAACATATTTTCAAAAAGAAAAATAATACTAAATAATTGTATAACTTACGTCAGTATCCATTAGTATCATGTGTTTTTATTTAATATTCTTTTTCAAAATTTTATATTTAACACGATTCAATCCTATTCATAATCCGAATTCATATGAAAACGTGCACTAAATCACGAGATTTATCACATATGATTGCATATGTTATAGATATTATTTCTA